TAAGGAAATATTAAATGCCCATGAAATTGAAGAAACAGGGGCTCTCCAAAGTTGCACGGATTATCTGTGAGTTAGGGCAGTTAGAAAACAGATTGTCTTACAATAATAGCTACTAGGGAGAGAGCTTACACTATGTTCCAGGGAATATTTTACAGGGAGTATTTTAAATGTGTTATATGAATTCGCTCATTCAGTCTTCACACGATCACTATGAAATGCGCATTTTGTTATTCCCATTTTGTGGTTGAGGAGACAAGCACAGGAGTTGACCATCTTGCTTGAGATGCTACACCTGGCGACTGCAGAACCAGCCATCAGTCCTGGAAATCTGGGGACAGAATACATCCTGTAGATGAGAGTACTGGCTGAAATTGAAAAGCAGGCAAAAATAAAGCATTTTTGATGATACAAACACACATAGTTACTAAGCCTTGAATACAGAGTTATGTAAATAAACTGAGTGAACGACTAACACAAGATTCAGGATGCTGTTTTCTGGGACGTGAGGCGCTGTGGTAACGGAAGCATCATATAACATCACTAAATTGAGAATGGTTACACTGATCCGAACTGTTCTACCCTTCCTGATATCTTTCAAGTTTTGATAACTATTATATCTAATCAATATTTAAAGCAATTGGAAGAATCAAAGGGAGAACATGAAACCTGGCTGACAGAGACACTTCATGTTTCTCCTTCATGACCTGCGTGGCTGTGGGTAAGGCCCTTGGCAGGGTCCACAGAAACTGAACTGGTTGTAGAATTTTCATTATTCAAAGAATTTTTCTTCAAACAAACAGTACTTCCAACACTGGCGGCACTGATGCCTCTGATTGCAGCCCCACCGAAAGCAAGCCCCCTGCAGCCCCCCGAGCCCACCCGGAGCAGGCTCTACAAATTGCCCCCCGGACATGGGCCTTCATTCTCCTGATTTTATATACCCTGGCTCCTTCTTTTCCCCACTTATAGAGACAGATGAGAAATTAAATTCCTCCATCCATCTGAAGTGGTCAGGAAATTCTCTCTCTAATTACCTGGAATCAGTTTTTGAGCACAAAGTCAAATCATCCATTCACTGCTCCTTCCCACAGTCAGTCCTGATGGAGCTCCCAGGGCTGTCGTCGCCCGGGCAGTCCCTCTCCACTGTCTCCTGCATTTGCTGCTTGGTAAGGTCCCACCATTTCTAATCCTCACCTTGCCAGATGCCCCTCCAAGGCCACCCCACCTTTCCTCAGGTCTTGCTCCCCAACAGAACAGCCATCCACTGTGTCCCTGTAGCCCTTGGCTCACAGGTGGGGTGGGAAGCCCCTGAGCATCCTGCTGGGCCACTCTTAGCTGTTTATGGGCTGTCACCCTAATCCTGAATAAACGTTCTTCACAGCGAGGCTCAAGTCCTGTGAGACTCTATTGTTCCCTGAATATCTAACAGCCAAGGGCCTTCAGGAACGATATTGTGATGACGTTGGAAGTGGGACACTGTGTACTCCAGCACCCACTGCTGTCTCCACGGCACTCCAAGAGGAGCTTGACACCTGCACCTCTTTTGATCTCCTCTGGTTCGAAGCTGGGAGGGCTCTACCTGGGTTCTCTGGTGCTCTTCCATCTAGATGCTTATCATCAGGGACGCTGAAGACGGTTTCACGACCCTCATTGTGGTGCCTTGTGTCCCCACCTCTCTGTCTCTCCAAGGACATTTTGCCAAGTCCTCGCTGCATGATTTGGCCTTCTCGTAGCATGGTGGTCACCACCCAAGACCTGGGTGGAAGCTGACTTCCGTAGACAGGAAGCAGCGCTGCCTGGACAGTGGAAGGAAAGTCTCAGATCTGGCACCGGGGCTCTTCTGTCTGTCGGTCACAACCGTCGCAGGCTCATGAAAGTCAGAAGAGGTGGAGAAGCAGATTCCTCTGAATGGGGTGTGTGCAGGTCACATGGCAGAATACCACGTGGGGTGGGAAACATGGAAGTAGCCTTCTTTGGGCACACTATTGGCTTCCCCTGTGGAATGCCCTCTATGTGACACCACGGCGGTGCTGAATATAGTGTGTGTGTGTTGAGCACACACTTCAATTCTCCACAACCTTTTATAAAGTCACTATCACTGTTATAATTTAACAAAGAAAACGAGGCCTGGAGAGCCTAATAGGTGTCTCATGTGTCACATCCAGTGAGTGGCAGAGCGATATTCCCATCAGGTTTTGTTGGAGTCTGAACTCTTAATCACTGAAGAACTTGGTGCCACTACCATGAGAACTAAGTAAATGTTTGACTTTCATATCTGCTTCCATGGATTAACCTCAGCAGGATTCTTTTTAAGCTCTTAAAATCTCCAAAAAATTACTTCTAATAATTTTTAAAATAAAACTAATAGAGCAGAAGGCAAGGCAAGATTGGACAGAAGCAGGAGGCGCTCAGTCACGCTCCTCTGTGACCCGGTCTCTATTCACCTGGGATGTCTAGGCAGCCTGATCTCCAGGAAATCTCCTTTCCTCTCTTCAATGCATTCTTTTTTGAGAACTTCCTCGTGGACAGTGGTCCCAAGTCTTATCCATACAAAACTTTTGGCAATCATTTCATCATACCCGTAGCACTTGGACATGACCAAAGGTTTTCATGAATTCAGTTCTCTATGCCTTCTGTGCAGGGGAATATACTGGGTATCGATGAGGGGAGACGTGCAAGTGGCTGTCAGCTTGGTCTTCATGGATGATCCCATCATCAATGATGGAACTTATTTCCAATTCTTGGTGACACATTTACATAATCAAATACTCTGCATTCATTATAAATTGTCACTGTCATTAGTTTCTCCAAACACTGGCCTAGCTCATAAGATTCCCAGGGGTTGCTTGCTTTTTTTTTTCCCCTTCTAATTGTCAGATAGTAAAATACAGTTTCTTAATATTGAACGTGATTCTATTAGTAGAAGTTGTCAAATTAGCTCATGAGTTGTATTGTTTTTCAGCAGTGAAAGAATATAAAATAGGGATGTCTAAATAACGAAAGTTGTATAGCTATAAAAATGATGTTGGTAACATTGGAAAACACCTATAGTACATTAAATTAAAAAACAAACTAGAAAATGTAATTGTGTAAGGAACCTTAAAAGGAAATGCCCAATAATATTGAACATTCTCCGATGGTTTAACAGTGGTAGTTTTTCTTTATGTATATATTTTTGTATTTTCAACTATTTTATAATGAAATGAATGACTTCTATGAACATAACAAAATCAAATATTAAAATAACTCACAGCCTTCTTTGTGGTATTTTTAAAGACAATAACCATGAAAATCCAGCCTTCTGGACAGTTGACAGGAGACCAAGTTTGCTCTCCTAGAAGACTCCCAAGTGGTGGTAAGCTAGTCCCATCAGCTAGTTCCATCACCAGCTGGCAATATTGTCATTAAGAAAGCGGAAGTTCACCTTAAACCTATCCAGTTCCCCTCATGGACCATCGTCACAGTCTCGGAGCCTGAGATACCTGCAGCTCTTGCAGAGGCACCATGGGCCACGTCTGCAGCCTCTGGATGCCCTCTCCCCTGCTCTCGCTGTGTTCTTTCACAGCTTGCAGTTTTTTAATTACCAGCCAACCACAAATCTGAGTCCTAGCAGTGCAACTTGGATGGCACCGGAGCACAGGCCCGGCTGGCTGAGGGCTGGTTCATAATTACTTCTGGGTAACCAGGAGGGCAGCCGTACTGACACTCTGGTAGGTGGAGGGCTCTGCTCTCAGGGTGCCAGAATTGCTGCTTCCCATTTTCCCAGATTCAGTGGGATTTACACTTATTAATTCCTGCAAATCAAAATGAAGTCCCTCCCCGAGGTCCAAAGCAGGGGTTGTTCACACATCATGAAGGAAAATAATGACCTGGAGTTGACATGGAGTTTGATTTGATCATTTCTACAAGAGAAGGAGGAGCCACCCACTGGGCGTCCCTGCGTGCTGGACACTGGGCTGAGGCCTTTCGGGAGCAGCTCCTAGACCCCCATCTGGGGACTCAGTGATTTGACCCTGCAAGGTTTTGAAGGGATCTATGCCTCTAATAAGCAGTCGTTCAGTTTGGTGATGGGTCCCTGACGAGAAATACACAGGGCTCTGTTGTTGATCTTTGCAGAGCTGGTTGATGCGGCACAAAACCGTGGACTTTGGAGTCAGAGATGTGTGGCTCTAACTCCTGGCTCTGAATTTGGGGATTTCCTTATTCCCAAGGAGGGGCTCCTGCGGCAACATGCGAAGTGCATTTGAGTGCTGAGCAGCCAGGAAACCTGACCCAGAGCCTCATGCAAAATGGCTAGCAGAGTGACCGGCTGGTAGCAGGTGGCCCTTGCCCCTTTATTTCCATGTGTACACTGAATGCAAGTGAGGAAAATATTTCAAGAAAGAATCATCACTTTGCTTAGTGAAATGAATGAGGTCAATGAATATTAATTAACTCGAAGCTGCCTTTGGCCATGTCAACACAGGGAGGAGCTCACTTGCTGCTTGCTAGCCTACCATCTTAGAATCCAGCGATCTCTTTATCCTGAGTATTCTGGAAGAGTCACAGTTCTGTCTCACAGAGTTGTTGCTGAGGGGTTATACCATGTGGAACCCCCATTATGCCTCTAAAATCTCTATTTTATTGTTTTTATTAACTGTCAAAACTCTTTCCAAAGAAGCAAATGCAAAAGATATGTTTCCTAATGCAAAGAAAAAGCACTAGTTTAACAGTTGACTCTTGGAGTAGGGTCGTGTTGCAGACAGCGGCACACACAGCACTGGTACTGGGGACGTTACACAGCCTACTCTAATATTCCTAGAGTTGAGCCTAATCTTGGAGGTAAAACTGCCTCGTGAGACTCTAAAGATGGCAACTTAAGCATCCAACACCAAGGAGAAGATCAGCACACCACCAAATAAAACACAGGTTCACCTTATTTTACCCAAGTTCCTTAGCACCAGGAATTCAGAATACTGTGGATGAAACAATAAGATACACGTTCCGTATACTCTGAGATGTCCCCAGCAAGGTCTGGAGCCACCCCCTCATCAAACACACTATTTTTGTTTTGAAACATAAGGACACCCCCACTCAGTGGGATGAAGGAAGAATCCACAGAGCCATCTCACGCAGGTCAGACTATGCTCCCACGTTAGTCACCAAGGTCTTTTGTCATTTCAAAGTCTTTTGCTTTTGACATGATGGCAAAGAGACTGCCAGCCTTACTTTAGTAGAAGCTTTACAATACCATAATTGTGAAGAAAATTTTAATAATGCAGGACGATGGCTCATAAAAATAAGACAGTATTGAGTGGATGACTGAAAACAATATGGAGTTTTAAAGTTTTCTAAACTTTTAAAACATTCCATGTTGAGGTAGAAAAGTGACGTATCTGAGGCCAAGTAGCGGATCTTTTTGAGTTCTAGGATAATTGACGATTCTCATTTTCTTCTTTGTGCTTTTGAATGTTTTCTAAAGTTGCCACCAGGATTAGAAATAAATTTAACAACAAACAAAGCTAATTTATTTTTATACCTTCTCAGTGTATTTAAAAGTGGGCACTTTCTGGGTACTGGCTCTCCCAGCAGGCCTAGTCTGGGTTCCAGGGGAGCATGGTCCACTCTTGAGAGGATTCTGGCCAGGATGGAGTGTGGCTTACTGGAAAGGGCCTGGAAACAAGGGTTGGTGACCTTGACTCTCCTGAACACTCAGAACCTCAGCCTCTAGGTTCTCATCAGTCCTGTCCACACTACAGAAGACACACTGGAAATCAAGCCCCAGGGTGGAGCTGGGCGTCCGCAGGCTTGTCTCCTCATCTATCACTCACAGCACTGGGGTACTCCAAGGAACAAGGCTTTCTGCAGTTCAATGGATGTTTAGGGAATCTGTGTGGTTTGTTGCCCAAAAAGTCAATGTAAAATAGTCTGCTAATTTCAGAAGCAATTTAGAATAATGACATCCAGGCCCCTTCTTAACTTCTTTGGAGTTTTTCCATCATTTTCTACATAATAGCCAAATGATCTGCTAAACATACGATTAACACTGTCTGAGAGCAGAGACCAGATCTTCATCATTTTAAGTGAAGCACCTTGCTCAGTGCCTGATTTGGTGTATATGTTATAATAAGTAAATGCTGTAGTCAGAACTCATGCATTTATACACAAGGATGTGAGCAGATTTTTCTCATTGTAGGTATGTGCACCTATGTATGTAAATTGTGTGAGTATATATGGCTGTGCAAATATATAGCTGTGCTCACATATGTGCATACATGTGTGTATACAATATCTATTTCTTCTGCATGCATTTGTACTCATTAATTCACTATTAAAGAGACTAATTGGAGATACTGAGATGGTTTAAATGTGGCCCTCTGAAGTCCATGCTAAACCCTCATCCCCATGGTGATGGTGTTGGGGGTAGAGATTTGGGGAGGTAATGAGGGGTGGAGTCCTCAACAATGGCTCTTGTGCCCTCATTAAAGCCACCCAGGGAGCTCCCTCACCCTTCCTCCCAGGTAGGGACACAGAAGGTGCTATCTGTAAACAAGGAAGTGAACCCTCGCCAGACACCACATCTGCCAGTGCCTTCTTCTTGGAATTTCCAAGGCTCCAGGACTGTAAGAAATACATTTCTGCTGTTTCTGAGTTATCTGACCTAAGGTACTTTGCTATAGCAGCCCAAGCAGACTAAGACAGATAGCAAGGAATTAGTCATAGTCACAAAAGACATTTAGAATTCTAGCCGTAGAATTGTAGGAAATTCTAGGGACAGAATTGTAAGACTTCATTCTTCAACCCTGGCTGCACTTAGACCAACTGAGCACTAAGAAAGTAAGAGGATGGACGTCCAGGTGTTCTGACTTCCTTGGCCTGGGAGAGGGGACTAGGATTGTTCTCTGTCCAGAGCTTCCTTGGCGACTGTATGATCTGTTGGACTTAGAATCTGCTGCCTTGTGTCAATAGGGTTGACCTTCACTGAGGAAGGAGGTGCTCCCCCAAAGGCACATCCCCTGCGTGTGGGGTAAGGGAACATGCATTCCAAACCACATTCACACCAAGTCTGATATGTGGCGCCTCCTCTGAGTCACACCCTGGCCATTGCTGCAGACTCTCGTCCAGTGTGTGGGGAAGGAGATATTTCTGAAAACCACTGTTGTAGTCCAGTGCTGCTCAGACTTTGTCGTGTTTAGGATTCAGCTGTGGAGCTGATAAAAATACAGAATCTGATTCAGAATCTGGGCTGCACTCTGCATTTCTAAGAAGCCCTCTGGGGGATGCTGCTTTGACAAAATCCCACAGAGCTGAAAACGCTGGGCAGGAGGCCAGGGCAGTTGAGGGTAACATAAGAGGGCAGCTTACTCTTCATTTATGTGGTACCAGCATTTATATGGCACCATTTATGTGGACAGCTTACTGTTCATTTATGTGCCTTTCTCTTTAGTGTGTGTATGTGTATGTGGGAGAGGGTTCTCATTTTAATGTTTCTGTTTCATTTCAGGATGGGTTAGCAAGCAATTCCATATAGATTGGTGACCTGAGGCTGCATTAAGAAGAAAGAGTGAAGATGAATTTGGGTTTGATGGGGTGGGGACAAGTGTGGAAGAAGTGTTATTCGTTGAGGCAACTTCAAGTATGGAGGTAACTAAGACAGGCAGGTGGGCTCCATGTTGACTCATTCTAAGAGGAGAAAACTGAAGTACATGATGATGGTGTGGCTGGTTCTGTCGCCTGTGGACTGTCAGTTTCACACCTGTAGTTACTTTAAAGCTGATATTATGCTGCTACCCTTTGGGATGCTTGAGAAACCGCCATGGCCAAGAGGACAACTGTCTGGCTAAAAGTGAAATCTACCTAAAGTTATAGATATGAGAGGGACATCTTCTCTCTACAAGGAGACCACAGGGTGAGCTCCATGAATGACATAAAAGGCAAGACCCAAGGGCAGGAGTCTCAACCGCAGCGCCAGGTGGAGGCTCACAGCAAACATGGCAGGATTGTCAGTCACCACCCACTGCCCTCAAAGAGGGTCCAGCGCTGAGAAGAAAGCCCGCTGTGGCGTATTGAATGGTGGCCCTAAACAAGTTCATCTGAGTCTCTGTGAATATGACCTTCTTTGGAGAAAGGGTCTTTGCAGATATAATCAAGGATTTTGATATGAAATCATTCTGGATTATCCAGGAGAATACAGGTGAATCTTAAGTTAAACAGCAAATGTCTTTATAAGAGAGGAACAGAGGAGACTATAAGACAGGAACAAAATGACAGAGATGTAGAGGAGAAGCTCACGCACACACGGCCTCAAACCAAGGGGAGCCTGGATCCCCAGGAGCTGGGGGAGGCAGCAAGGATTCCCCCAGGGTCTTCAGAGTGAGCAGGCCCTGCTGGCGTCTTGGTGTTGAACAGTGGGAGAATAGATTTCTGTCCCCTTAAGCTGTGCAGATAGTGGTGATTTCTTAGGACTCTGGCGCGCCTGCCTGACTTCCTGTCCACCATCTTCACAAGCCTCTTGGGTCTGAGCAGCCATCCCCTTCGCTGAGTTGCCACAGAGGAACCGGCTCACTCACCTGACGGCAGCCTTGCCTCCCTCCTCGTGTCCTTCCCGGTTCCCACAGTGGAGGGATCATGGATGGAGCACTATGTTTGGATCTATCATTGTGTTCTGTGCCATCCCAGGCAAGTCACCTGGGCCAGGAAGATGATGCCCAGGGGAGCGAGGGGTGCCTGCCCTCCCCATCCAACCCTGCTTAAGGACCAAAGAGGAAAGGGTAGCTGCTCCCGGGCCAACGGTGATGTTCCATGAGCTTGATTGACTCAGGCGCGAGCCCTTCAGAGGCCTGAGCACCAGGGAACTCCCCCTACCTTTATCAGGGCAACCGGATGGACACAAGCTCCAGCTTCCCCCTCCTGTGGGCCTGACCATGGGCAGGTGGAACACCCTGTCACTTGAGCATCTGTGGGCAGTCATGACTGGGGCTGTCGGAGCACCCACTGCTCTTCTGTGTCTCTCTGGACCCTGGCTCTGTACCATTGCCTGTCACCTGTGCTGGTCCCCAAACCCCCTCTAGGACCTGGGGTCATGGGGAAAACAGGCATGCTTCTTCCTCAGGCCAGATGTGCTTTCCAAAAGGCTAAGTGACTTTCTCAATATCTCAATGTCACGCGGCTGTGAAATGATAGGGCTAGTGGTTTAGGCAGGTTTGCTTGTCTCTGAAACTCATTCTTTCTGGTGCAGACCCTTTGCCTCTCACTTCACACCAAAGGAGAACAGCAATGCTGCCCAACCCAGTGGCAAATAAACAAAGCAAATGAATAGATAAGTTATGCAAATTTTAGAGTTAGTACACCAAATTTTCTCGATTTTTTTTGGCATTATAAATATTTCTTAAACCTTTGACATCTGCTCTTTTGGCCATATTCAAAAGCATCATGTATGCACAATAGTGTTTTTGAATCAGTTGTATATTTTGTGTCCAAACCAATCACATCATTCATTTTGAGTTGTCCTCAGGAGAAAGCAGGACACAGGCTTCCTCCTGGGGAAACAAGGGTCTGAGCTGCTGGTGTTTTCTTAAACCTTCACAAAACTGGGAATGGAATGACTCATGGTTTTCTGGGGCCCTTCTAGCAGTAGCCCCTCATCCTTGCTCCAGCTACACACCCACCCCCGGTCAGAAAAAGTGGCCTCTTCTCCCAAAACACATGATTGGAAACGGAGTTGTTTGAGCACCCAAGCACACTTCTGCAGTCCCAGCCTCAGGAAATGCCCTTCCCCTGGGGACACAGTGGCACCATTCCTTAGCACATTGCCCGGGCGGTGGCTCCTATCCCCACTAGGAGACAGGAGCACAGTACTTACAGGCTGTTCATCGCTCTCGGCTCACGGTAAATAAGGGGGCTCTTCAACTCAGCCTGTGGAAACAAAAGCAAACGCTTTACCTGATACGTCATATTTGAATTCTGTTAAACACGCTATTGTCGCTTCTTGTTAAAGTTGGGTGCAGGTGTTGGCTTAGAGGAACAATGGAAAGAGAATCAGTGCAGGTCAAGGATGGGTTTATTTCTGGAATGGGGTGGAGGAGGGGACTTTTACCCCTGTCATGCTGTCCTCCTTCTGTCAGCATACATCCCATCTGCCCTGGGGAGCTGAGCAAACTTGCACTGTGCCTGCTTTTTCCCTGGAGTGCAATTGTGTGCTCCCCTGGGCACCTGGGTGTGCTAGCCCAGATGCTTCGGGTGCTGCTGTGAATTCAGGGCTTGCCGAAGTGCAGAAGAAGGGATGCTTTCTTTTCTGAGTGTGACCTCTCTGTGTTTATTGGAGGTTACATTTATGTGCCACTTCACACAGGCCACAGCATTTTGTTTGAGCCCTGTTTTCACCCACAAAGGAGACATTATTAGCTCCCACATAAATTAGCAGCAGTGACTATGGAAATATTCAATATCATTTAATCCACTCAAGGACCCTGGTAGGTATAAAGGAAATTTCCCTCTGTGTCAGGTGGGGGGGTTCAGCAAGAAACAGGTGGCAACCTCAAATTGGTTAATTTGAGAACTTTGAATAAAGAGACGCTCTAACACGTGTGGGCAAGATGAAGAGAATCTACAAGGGCCAGAGAAGTATCTGGAGGTGTTAGGAAAGGGCTGTTATGGTGCCTGGTCCTGGAGGGTCATGGAGTGGCAGGGCTGGGTGGAGAGGAGCTTGGCTCTCAGCTGAGAGAGCACAGGGAGGGAGCTGCAGAGTGTGGAGGGAAAATCCCCATAGCATGATCCTCCAGCCCTGGATCTCTTCTGCTGTCTCCTATTGACCAAACTGGACAGGAAGCCAGGGAGGTGGAACTATTGATATGGTTTATGTCCATCAGCCTCTGGGGGCTCCCAGCTGAGGAAGAGAGGGGATTTCAATTAGAGAATGAGAGCCAGGGAGATTAAATTATGTGCCCAAGATCAGCCATCTGCAATAAGAGCCCAGATCCTAAAACTCTTATCTCCTAACCTGTCAGCACTTCATTATCCAACCATTTATCCAATCACCACTTACTGAAAATAGACTTTGTGCAAATATTGTGCCTAATGAAACCTGGTCCCTGCCCTCCAGTGCTCCCAAAACTAAGGAAGTACAGTTTCTACCTCCTTCTAGCATCAAAATGCTTTGTAAAACTGATGCATCAAAAAACAGAACAAAACAAAATTTAAACAAACCCACAACAGGTCCTAACCCTGCCTTTAAAAGCAAGAGAATCTTTGTAGAAGAGACAGTACTTTGGGTCTTGCTGAATAAGTCTGATCTCCTAGGCTCAGTGGTCAGGAAGGTGTTCCAGGCCAGTGGAGCACCACGTGCAGGGCTGTGAAGATGCTAGATTGTTCTGGGTGCCATGACAGCTTTGCAGGGTTTGGTAGGACCACAGAAGCCAGCAGCGTGGATATTGGAGGCACATGGAAAAGAGGAGGGCCCATTGCATGGTGATGGCCAAAGATCGGGCATGCCTAGGGATGAGGTTTGGCCAGTAACTGTGGCAAAGTTACTGAAGTGCTGGACTGAGCTCCAGATCCTCTGATATCCTGTGCATCACCCCATAGCACATCCCCTCTTCTTATATTTCTAGCTTGGTCCTGACAGCAGGGACAGGAAAGGGAGCTGCTAGGCTTTCACTCACAAGTGGTCCTCTGTGGGCAGTCTAAGAGCATCTAGTTCATGGCTTTCTTTGGAAGTTATCACCTCCACTTGAAACTTTGCCCATATGATACAATGTGCATTGAATACTCCAAGAGTCCTGGACTGGAAGTTGGGAAACTCTGTCCAGTTTGAGTGCTGCATTATGTAGCTGTGTGATCTAGAGGAGTGTTCAGTCTCTCCTCATTTATTAGTGGCAGTATCAATATCTCTTTTTTTGCAGTATTAACTGTGAATTAAGCTGATGCTTTATGCATTTCTATGCAGAAAATGTCTTACAAACTAAAGCACGTTATAAAATATGGACATACAATTACTAATATAATAAGCTTTGCAAGTTGCTTTAACATCTTTCATATTATGTTTGATCATTAACAAGAATTTTGGATATTACTTCTTGGAGGGGTTGAATTCTTGGTTATGGTTAAATAAGAGAAATTGCCCACCCCTAAAAACATCTATCACTTTAGAATTCTTGTTACTCCATTCATTTCCTTGAATTCATTAAGTAGCGCTGAGATGGAATAACATAAGTTAGTCTTCACGGAGGACACCCTGTGTGCCTGGCTCTTAGCCAGCTGTATGCATAGCAAGGGAATCAGGAGATACAGGGCAGTTCTTTCCAAGACTTACTGCCTCTGATCAGTAAGGTAGGAAAGTGGCCAACCCTCACCCTGCCATCACCCACTGTGTGGCTTTGAACAGATTACTGGCGCTCTCTGGGCCCTGATTTCTTCATCTGACATATGAACAAGTTGGACCAACAATATTCTTCCAGCTCAAAATTCCATGAAATAGTTCCCTTAAAAAACTACAATCCATCCACATCTGATAACAACAAAAAAAGTTGTTTTAAAATTCAGAAATACACACACACACACACACACACACACACACACACACATCTTTTTGTCTTCTCCAATACAACTCCTCACAAAATAAACCTTCAGAGATTCAGAGGCCTCTGCCAAATTGCTACCTCATAGGACAAAGTGCAGCTGGGGGGATCCCTATATTTTACCTACGTGCAATTTGACCTGTGTCATCTATGTTTAAAAAAAAAAATTCAAGGAGATATTCTATTTGGCTTTTGAGAGGTTTGAGATATCCATTGTATGAGAATAGTTTTTAAATATTTTAAAGAGAACCCGAACTTTACTGGCATTGTAAAAAAGCAAAATTTGGGGTGTTAGAGACCCATACCAGAATCTGTTTGGCCACATGGGGTCATCAGCAAGTCAAAGTGGAGCTCTCTGCACTGCCCTGTGTCCAAAGAGCACAACACACTTATTTGAGCTCAATTGTTTAGTAAAGGATGTGGTGAGAATTTGAGCCAGTCAGGAAGCGTTTTGTGTCCACAGGTTGTATGAAGATAATCAAGTACAGAAAAGATAAGGCCCTTCCCTTCCTGCACTTTTTCAAAGAAAAGGGATGAGCATTGATCAGCTGCTCTGGTCCCTAACCCCTGCACTAACCCCTAAGGATTTGTTTTTTCATCTTTATTTTATTCAAAACCAAACTGACACTTGCATTAAGTAATTGGCTTTGCATGGCACGAGTAACCAGCTGGCATTCAGTCCTAGGGTCCCTGCCACCTCTGAGTTATGCTTTGGGACAACTGCTTGCTGATTTGGAGACTGTTTGGTTATCTGTAGAATGCGGGGGTGGGCACAATCTCTTATGAGGATCATGTGAGAAAATGAGTTCTGAGACACGAGGACGTGGAGATTAACGCTAACGCGGACTGCAAGAGTAACTAATGCCTTGGACCACTCCTAGGTTTGTTTGTGTCTCCAGGACGGATAGGTGTGTATGGGGTTGTTCACAGCCACTAATTGCACCATGCAGAATTACCTGGGCGCTTTAAAATTTAGAACACCCTGGAAAATCTGATTCAGTTGTCTTGGGGAGGAGCCCGGGTCCAGCTGTTAAGTGCCTCAGCTATTGTAACAGGCGGCGAGGCCCCAGGGAGAAAGCAGAGCATCCCTGTCTTCCATCTCACATCCGTCTGCCCAGCATCACTCACAGATGTCTTCTCACCAAACAGACTGGTGTTTCTTATTCTCAGGTAAAATGTCAAATAATCACACGTTCATTTGCCTTCTGTCTCAAGTCCATGAAAACCAGAAATTCAGGAAATGCCACTGATCGTAAAGAGACCTCCTTCCATTCAGAATTATTTCTGAGTTGACCTTGAGCTTTAAAAAATTCACCACATCCAAGTATTCGTAGACATGGATGAGAGGGGGAAAGATATTATTCCTGGTTTATGGAGACACAATACGTGTACCTCTTTATGGGGCAGAGTATGATCATCTGATACATCAGAGTGCCTAATACATCTCCTCCAGCCCTCATCATTTCTGTGTGTGGGAACTCTCATGCTCTTCTGATGGGAAAGGTTTCTCATTACACAGAGATTTCTCAGATCTGATCTATAGGTAAGGAGGAAGTGAAATCCAGGCTTGTGAAACTTAAAAGGAAGCGTTTATTCATGTATTCTGCAATTATTTATTGAGGATCTACTATGTGCTGGGCACATTCCAGATACTAAGAATTAGAGGCCATGGAGCGAGTCCCCTGTGCTCACAGCCAGTGCTCCCTGGTGCTGTAAATGGCCACGTGGAGAGAGATGAAATACAGCTTTGTATGTAAGAGAGGTAAGTAGGGAGTCGCTGGCACACAGAGGGAGGTATTTTCCAAGCCAGCCCACTTAGCTTCCT